TCCAAACTATATAGCAATTCCCCCCTCAGAGCACCGAACTTTCCGAATCATGCTGCTATTGATCTGAGGCACTTCATAGGCCATTCCAACGTTCTTCTTGAAACTTTTCCAGCTGATCTGTGGGCATGGTGTGTTGGTATCACGACACCTGCGGCACAGGAGGATCCACAGGCATCTGCAGTCATAGCTCAGCACCAAGGACAGGAAAGTGCTGGGGGCATCTTTTCTGATGAAAACACGCACTGGACTCATTGTGGCGCGCGCATTTAAGAGAGTTAAGAATACACAACTATGCATGTCTATGTTCATAAATGAAATCACACACACACACTCATACATGTACAATCATGTATGTATGTATGTATCATATGCTAGACATATGCACATGCCTATTTCATTTGCATGGGCCTGCATGGGCTTTATAGCTCGCCAATGCCTTGTTATCTTGGTTAAGTATATTAAGTCTCGAGCTTTGTGGTACTTGTATCCTGGATAGTTTCTGAAGTTGGTCACGAGTCACGACACAGTTTTGAGTTTTGTGACCAAGCTCCTGTGGAGGCCTTTACAAGTTGCTCGGCGATCAGCAGACAAGGGACGATCCCTTGTGAACCTATGCTGCAGGCTATGCAGGCTATGCTAGGTTGAAGATAGATGTAAATCCGTGCAGCAAACTTGTCCACCTCCAACACACCTCCAACAAACATATTTTGTCAAATTTTCAGCACCGCAGCGCCGCATGAACATGTGCCCGCAGAATCACTGCTTGGCCCTAGCTGTGAGTGAGGTCGACTGCTGGACGCCGTGGTCGGTTCGCCGCTTGAAGAGCCTTGAAGTAGAGTCGCCATTTGTCCCAGTGAGTTGCGGTTTCGTTAGAACTCTAGATTTGGCACAAACGTCGGAATGCCTTTGCTGCACTGCAATCTTGCGAGCATTGGCCCATGCGATGTGCCAGTGTAGATTTCACAATTTGTGGAGCCAGGGTCTGAAAACCTGCTGAGCCACAGGAAGCCACAGACCCGGCCACAGGCTGATGATCTCAACATGTCAATGTGCCTTATCCAGACGACAAAAGAAGAGCAATGCAGGTAATGCTTTGTACCGGTATATATTTGACCCTTGATACCAAGTGAAATAGTGCTCTTGCAGCCACCTGTTCAGCACTTTGAGCTAGTTCATGCTATTTCACAGAATCTCCTTTGCGGGACACGGGATCGGATATAAATCACCCCGCCACAGTGCACTGGTGCACTATGTAAACTCTCTTGCATGATACGCTTTGCCTTCCCATGCTATTTTTTCCAGATAATGACTAAGAGATCCTTCAGGATTTTTCCATGCTGTGCTTGGGTGCTATCTGAGGCGTTGTGCGCGGCTGAGCAGGGCATGGTTTTGCTGAAGGTCTTGGGTGCTTCGAAGGCCGCGGTCTCACGGCACGGCCGTGACAGAAGTTGATTGCAGACAAGTTGATTTAAGGTTTCAAATCCATTTCAGCAACATTTAGCACGGCTTAGATGCTCTCCAGCTTACTTCAGCAGTAAGGAGGTTGGTTTTGCATGGTTTTTGCATGGTCTTGCATCAAACTGTTGGAGTGAAATACTATGCCACTCAATATGTTTTCCAATTCCCTCGCAATCATGACCACAATATGCAACAATCAATCATCGAACAGCACTGACGCGTAAGCGAGAAGTTGGTTTTGGATGACTGTTGCATTTGGTTTGGGCCAACCTGGACACAAGATGATCGTGATACTTTGTCGCGACAATGCAATTCTGGCCGTGGCATAGAGTTACGTGCCGTGCTGCTCCATATTTGTTGCTGAGGTGGAGGAGGTTGCAGCTTTGATCAAGGTGGGATGGATGCAGCCAATTCTATCCTGTCCTCCTAGGTGTCAGGGAATAAGCTTCGAAGTGTCCCTACAGATCCTACAGTGGACAAACATTGTTCAACCATGGATACTTTCCACTCGAAAATCTGATGGTGAAGAGGCATGCTGGTTTCTTTGGTTGTGATCCTTCTTGCTTCTTGACGACAGCCCAGCCGAAATACTTTTGCGATCAGGTGTCAGACTGCATGTTGGCCCTCAACAAAGGGCGAGCTGCTCTGATGCGGGGGTCCTGCTGGCTTTTTGTTGTGTTGAAGCAACCGTGACCACCCGAGCCGCGGGTCCTTTCCAGTCTTTCTACAGTCATTATCACCGTGATGCGCCAGGCAAGAGGCTGCGAAGCGTTGCAAGGGCGAGCGTGCAGAAGCTATGGCCTTGCAGGTGCGGTTCACCACGGCATAGGTTCACGGCATAGCCAGAATAATCGGAGTGGATGAGGCATTTGAGATTGCTGATCTAGAAGAGTCCGAGGGGAGGAGAACAAGAAGAACAAGATACAAGAATTCTTCAGCTACGTAGCAGCTACGTAGCAGCTACGTGCGCTAACATTGGAGCCTTCCGCAGCCACAGTGCCCAAGCTTCCAGCCATTCCACAGTGCTACGCACCACCATCCACCACCAAGATACTGGGCAGGGCTCGGAGCATGTGACTACAAAGAGATACAAAGAGTAAATACCCGAAGTTGGGTGAAATTAAGGCAGTAGTTCAAGATTGTTCAAGATTCAAGGGCAAAGGTGTTTAGATGTGTTTAGGCATTGTTTAGCGTTTGCTCACAGCAGCCATGGCAGACCTAAAGGCATGCCTTGACGCATTGGAAGCCGTCTCGGCGTCCATTGAGAGAGGACAAACGGAGGCCAGTAATCTAAATTGCTGCTGGGAGTTTCATTGTGCTACCTATGAGAGACATAGTGCATGTTTCACACTACTTTCATGTGGCCTATATAGGTGCGGACTGCAATTACTGCGCAAAGCTGAATCTTGGCGTGCAGAGAGTGTCCCAATTCAAGCTGCTCTGTTTGCTTGGTTCATTCCGATTGCCGGTGGTTGCGCCATGCTGTGCCTCAGCGTGGTGCAGCCAAGGCTTGATTGACAAAGTTGCAAAAGAGGCACAGCACTACAAAGAGATTTTGTGGATGTGGCAGTCCTCAATACATACATATATATATATATTATATATATGTATGCAGTATGGAAATGTCCCCCAGGTGATTCAAGAGTTTGGCCTTTCGACCTGTTTTGTGACCCTTAGTTTGAAGTGGGAAAAGTTGCTGAATGTTTCTGGATTTCTGGACTCCAGCAGCATCCAGCAGCATTCACTTCAGCTTGACTTTCTGACGCAGGTCTCATCAGTGAAGCACCAGCTGGCTGCCAACAAGGTCAAGGCACCCAGCGCATCGCAGTTGGAGGGCACATCTCTTTGACATTTCCCTTAAGTATTGTGAAGTCATGATATTTGCATATATTTGCTATGCATGGCTGCTGCTGTTAGCTTCTTTAAATCTTTCTCTGCTCCAACCCTTGCATGAATGCACCCAAAGTAGCGACTGCTGATGAACAAGTGAAAGGCATAGCGGTCATAGCCTGCGGCATAGCGCAGCGAATAATGGATGAAATGCGAAGCGCCTCTTGCACAATCTTGCACGATCTTGCTTGTTTGCAGGATGGCGACACGAGCGAGGTTCCAAGCTGTGGCTTTTGCGACTCCGGAGACGGCCAACAGTGCAACACTCAATGCTATGGAGGGGTGTTTGGTGTTTGGTGTTTTGCAGGCATAAAATTGTAATAAAGTGAAATAAACATCGTACAATCAGTTCGGTGTCAAACAGATCTATGCACACATATGAGTAAGCAACAAAATTAATTATTGCAATACTAATTTAGTATTGCTTCGCCTTGGCCTTGCTCAGGGGTGTGCAAAACCTTCATTACCGATGGGGGACGACCCTAATTTGTGCATGGCATGAAAACGAACAAGTAATTTTGTCAGCTATTCATATGCACACAAATGCGCGGAATATGTATGTAACATGTATACTTAGTATGGAAGTGTGTGACCCTATGTAATGGAATCAGCTTCAGCAGATACTGGTGCAGTGTTTCTGGTGGCCCAACGCTGAGCATGTTGCACTGCAGACACTGCCGGATTTTGGTCCCTTGGCTCAGGTCAGACCACGCGAAGACGCTGGAGGTGCTCCAGGTATTGACAGAGAATACAGAAAATTCAGCCAGTCGGCAGCACATGAACCAGAGCAGTGGAACCAGTGGCTGTCAGCAGATGAGGACCGTAGCCTGATACAATCTGCTCTTATGTTTTTTTAGGCTGCCACTTGCGGTTGGCATGATGTTGGAATACTTGAAGGCTTTGATTTGCATCATTTTGCATCATCATTGTGCGATTCACTGCGTGGAACCATGTCCGCGCGGATGGTGGACTTTGGCCCCTGGATTCTTGACCACTTGAGGCCAGACGGGATCCTCCCGACTTTGAAGAGGCTGCTGGACCAGCTGACAGCTTCAAACATGCGTTGATGGGATATAAATATGATATACACTGACATTGACACATACACACATGTATCATCATGTATCAATAAATAGATAAATTAACAACTACATGAATAATTTAATGATTAATAAATAGATAAATAAATGAATAATAAATAGTATATAATTATATATATATATCTATTACATCATGATATCATGTATGAAGCACAGGCAAGGCAAAGGAGTAGTAATTAGCCAGCTTTCCGTACCAGTACGCAGACATGAAATCATTGACGGATATTGACGGTCTATCTTACGAGATTTTAAGAGTTTGCTGAAACAAGCGCCAGAATCGCCAGGTAAGGCTAAGCATCTACTTATTTTGCTCAAATACATGTTCTAAGTATATCTAATTATATAAGTATAATTTTCTGCTTTGCCAGGTGATCCATAGACACAGATCCAAACCGGAGGTTGTGGCCAGGCTGCACTACTGGTAGAGTCTGCAGGTTTGTGGAGCAGGCTATAGACACTGAAGTCGCTGCAAGATCGCGTAGTATGTCGTATGCCAACGTTGCGCACATTGAGGCTCAGCCAGTGAGCGAGGTTCCAGGGGACACTGAAGAAGTAGAAGGAGGAACTGGATCAACGGGCGTCAGCAGCGGCTCAGTCAGGAACGCATGCACTCAGAAACTGCAAGCTGCCCTCCGTTTTGTCAACCATTGTCTTTGTGGTTCCTCCCAAAACTGATATTGATATCTTGATGAGTTCTTCTTGTTTGAATTGGTGCAAGGCAGGGAATTTGCTGGAGGTCGCCACAATGCTAGCGCAGTCAGCATACCACAATGCCTGATCATTCATGTTTGTACAACTGAGGATTCGCAGCTTACTGGAAAGATGAGGCAGAGGAGGCATTTAACGCAGAATGGAATATCAAGGCTGCAATGGGTTCCTCAGCAAGATTCACCACGGTTAATAATATTAAGATATCTGAAGCGTTCTGGTTCTGGAGCCTTGGAAGTGGTGATTGCGGTTTGTTCAATGAGGATGATTTGATTATATTTGATTGGCATGTGCTAGAAACACCATGAAGCACCGAGGCTTCGAGACAGACGCAAAGAAGGTGAATCCCACGAGATCCACAACGGCCTTGCCGAAAACGGCTTCTCCAGACACTCAGTTGCAGAATTTGCAGAATGGTGTAGAATCCGGAATTTTGCAGAATGTTGTAGATCTATGTAGATCTGGGATTCGCAGGGCATTCTGAACGGCCTCAGTGACCCCAGTGACCTCAGGATGCGATCTCAGCAAATGCACAAGAGCGTGCAAAATCTCGCATGAGAAGCTTGGCACAATCGATCCCAAAGCATTGAAGATATTGAAGCGAGATCCAGTGCACAACTGTGCTTCTACAATCTTGAACATGCTTTACAGCACCTTGATTCATCGCAATGTCCAAGGTGGCTTACAGCGTTTCATCACCAGTTCCCAATTTGATGCTTGGCGTTTTCGATCATGATCCCTCGCCCCATGTTTTCAAGTGTTGCTGACAGCCCGGATGCGTGTAGTAGTTGTACACACCGGACACACCAGATTTGCACCAAGGACCAACTCTCTGGTTGCATCATTCTGATCCACTCTTTCAGCGTGGGAATGGAGGATCGGCATGGAATATCGTGGAATGCTTCACTTTGGCTATCATCAACTGTTTATTTTCTTGAATTTCATTCATTTTCATTGCTTGGTCAAGAGGCCAACGAGCGTGCGATGGACCCGATAAACGCTTGTGGTGGTGTATGGGTGCCATTCTTAGACCTTGCTGACCAGGTGATCAGGAGATATCAGGGGTCATGACATATTGGTTTCTACATGTTGAATCGTTTGTCCAAATGTTCCGATTCCCCTCCTCGTCCTGGGTAATTGGCGAATATTGGCGATAGATTCGGATATATTCGGCCTCTGGCTTGCCGACTGGCGCACCACAGGCGTCACAGAACGGTAGTCGTGGCAGTGTAGGCAGTTGGAGCTACGACAGTCACGATGTCTAGTCTTAGAACGTCTTACTGTTGCTATCTGTTGCTATTATACTGTTGCATGCTGTTGCCTCTTGCCATCAGCTCGTTCTATCTGAGATATTGAGTTGCTGAGGTCAGTGTCCAGCAGCTTGGACAGCTTCAAAGTGTTGTTCCAATTGAGTTCAAGTGGTTTTCAGTATCATCTCTCGAAAGGCGTTTGCGCACTGTGTGGAATTTGTGCGTTGGTATTGTGGTGTAATTGAAAGACAGTGTGTAGCATCTAGAGGCTAGCTTGCAACATTATTTTCGTCCTTGAGCTCTTCATTCGCATGTTCAGCTTCGGCTGGAAAATCTATTTTTGCGGATCGGATAGGCTGGGTCTCGGGTTGCGCCTTTCAAGCAATGCTGAGACAGAAAGACGATGAAAGACCACTGTTTTTTTTGATGGAAGGCCCAGCCATACCGTTTTTTCCTCTTCGATTTGACACCAGGGACGATGCTCGGGAAAATGTGACTGATATAGGCAGTATCGGTCAATACTGGGCAAAATGATTAGAAGACCTAAAAGGATCTACAAGGTTTAGGTGTCAGCTCTTACAAGGTATCAGCAGGTAACAACAAACTTGAAGTTGGTCAAGCGGTGCCGGATATTTCAAGCAGTCTGTAAGTTCGTAGAAGTCAATTTCAACAGGCAGGATGAATTGCATGTTGGCCATTAAGATACCGTCGAGAATTTGGATGAAGAGGCAACGGCCAATGTATTATGTCTACGGACGGCGTTATCCAGTAATGTTAGGATACAACCAGCAGGTGGTAAACATCGATGACATATTGCAACAATGGAGTGAACAATGGTTACAGATGGTTACAGGTACCGGAATGACTTTCTCAACGAGACGCGCAGGTACTGGAACTTCTTTGATCTGTTGGTCATCACTGGCGGCTTCATCGAAGAGATCATCCAACGAGTGCCTAGGCTGAAGGCCTGCAGCTTGATTGATGATGATTGATGGAAATATGTACATATAATGTCACATAATGTCATATAATATACTTAGCATTACTAGCATATTACTAGCTACTCTAGTGGCTCTAGCTACTTACCCTTTCCGTTCAATATGTCAGAATTGTGCACGTATTGACATGACATTTGGACTGGCGATTTTGGCTCTCCAAGGCGATTCTCACCGATTGCGAACGTTGCTTCGCAGCACGCAGAACCAAAAGAAGCATTTTAGCCCGCCCCCAATGCATGTCCAGATGAAGTGTTTGATCCTTGGCATTTCCAAGCCATGTCGACCGTGTCCACCATGTGTCCACCCATCAAAGCATCTGTTGGAGTCGTTGACCCACCTGGCTGAGGCGATGCCGACCCTTGGCTGCAAAGTGCAAAAAAGGGGGCTATGTGATCCAGCATTTCTGCCATATTTACAGCCATATTTATCATTACCTATATATACACATATATGATTGTTTATCCATGTCCTAGGTTGTTCTAGCATACTGAGTTCATCTGAGTTCTCTTGTCATTCGTGGTTGTTTATAATACGTTAATATCAGTGGTAATCAATAATAGTAACAGTGAGCCTGGAGCAGACAGCGCGGTGTGACTGGGTGCCAACCATACTCGCAGACCTTGTTGACGCAAGCCCCTTCTCTTAAACACGATCAATTGAATTCCAGAACGGAGCGATGCACTTGATGCATTCACAACATTTCAATGGCTACTCATCTCATGGAAGGTGATGTAAAAAGAGTGGACGCATTGATTTGCATGTGTAAAATCACCTCACATAAAACACACTGTATTATAGATACATCTTACAGCTGTGCGGCTCAGGAGAAAACAGTGCTTGAGTCGCTGTGCTTAACGGTTTTATTCCCTTGTTTTAGGTTTATCAGTCTATTTGGGTGTAATAGGAATTACCCCAGCTGAAACCTGAAAATACAGGTTATCAGCCGTAGTCTCTAAAGCCATGGACAAGTCACATGATGCTACAGGTGGTGGCGCTCTCGTACCTGCTTCAGGAACAATGGCGACTGCATCAACTGGATCTCAGCCTGTGACGGCTGGGGCAACTCCCACGCCCATGTCGGTAGATGAAGGTTTCTTCACACAGCCCGTCCAGGCATATTTTCAGTTCGTGCAAAACAATCTTACCTACATCAACGAAGGTAACATTGACGCTTTCAGGCAAGAGGCAGAGGAGAGGCACACACATCTCATGGAACAAAAGGTCCAGCAACTGTACCAAGAGTTTGAGGGAATTTGCCTTAGCGAAATCGCCCATCAACGTGCAGAAGCTGACCGCAGACATGAGCACCTAGTGTCAGAGTATTCAATGTCCCAAACGGCAACTGAGCATGAGGTAGCAAAACTGAGACAGGAACTTAGCGATGCAAACGCAAAGCTGAAAAACGCTGCAAATGCAGTTGCGCTGGAAGCTGAACAAAGAGCCAACCAAAAGGTAGCCCACGTTACAGCCCAGTACGAACAAAGGTTTTCTGAACTCAGAGGTAGCCTCGAGGCAGACTGTAAACGAATCGTGGATGAAACAGTAGAGTATGCAAAGAATGGCATGGAAGGTTTCAAGAAGGAGGAACAAGCTGTAATCCAGGAAATCAGAGAGGAATGCGGTAGGCAGGAAAACCAAGCTGCTGAACCCAATTTCCAATTGCAGGGACAAGTGGAGGATTTGATGGAGAAGCTCAACAAGTACAGCGCTCCGGAAATCAATGTCAACAGAGCCGTTGAAGTTGATGATTCACAAGGCGGGAACAACGTCGATTTGTACATGACCCCAAAATCAGCGGTCGGTACCAAGGCTGGAGCAGAACCCATGCCAAACACTGGTATGAGTAGCTTAGCCATGGACGCTAAGGAAAGGTTGAGCAACTTGTTCTCAACTACCCCTGCCGGATCAGCAGCCCCTCCGAAACTTCCACCATTGCCAGTTCAAAGACAAAATGATGATGATGCAAATCAAGAACATAGCGTGCCCAGTCCTACAGTAATAGCAAGCGACCCTGGCAAGAAAGCAGCTGAAGCAGGCTTAGGTCTTTCAGGTCAACAATTGCTAGATCTCATCACCAGACTGACTTCAAAGGATTCAGATGGTGAAAAGCCCCGAACAAAAGAGGCAGAGACTATCAAACTGAACGACATGCCTGCCCCAGAAGCGTATCGTCACTGGCGTAATCATGTCAGGGACGAAGTCAAGTCGTGCTCCGACAAACCCGATGAGGCTTGGCTTTGGCTCAATGAAGTCTTTGACAACAAAACCCCTAGGGAAAAGTTGGAGGAAAAGCTGCAGGAACCTGGGAAATTTATCACACTTGACACTAAATTGTCGGCAGCGTTAACTCGCTCGGCCAAAGGTGATTTAGCAACAAAGATCCACAACTTCAAAGATGAGAAGTCAAAGAAAGGGATCCAAGTCAGAGGTAGGAGAGTCCTTTTGATGTTTGAAGATTACTTCAGGACGTCTGAGGAAGCTGGCAGTCTCTACCGCGTCGAGGACCTACTTGGAGTCGTTCGCACTGGAGAATCTGTGGAGGACCTTAGAAGGTTTCTGAACCGATGGGACGCCACAATTGCCGGCATGGAAACCCCGCCAGATGATTTGGTTCTCAGAGACATCTTACTCAGACAAATCCGAAAATGTCAATTGATGAAGTATGACATTGAAGCATTTGACAGAGCTCCTGAAAAGTCAGAACAAAAGTCTTATGCATTCTTGTTGAGAAACATTCGTGATCTTTTGGATAGAGAAAGACTCCGTTCAAACAGAAACAGAATCGTTGAAAAGAACAAGCAGACCGAAAAGCCTCAGCCCGCTGCACCCGCTCAGGGGGGCAAAGATCGCGGCAAAGGAAAGGGCGACCGAGGTCGAACCCGTGGTCGTAGCCAGAGCGGAAAAGGGGATAAAATATGCTACAAGTTCAGGGATGGCAAGTGCGAAAAGGGTAAAGACTGTCCCTACAAGCATGTCAAAGATTCCTCAAGATCTGGTACCCCCAAAAGGAAGGGTAAGGGCAAAGGTGGTAGCAGAAGTGGTTCCCCCAACAGAAAGTCGAAGGAAGAAATGGCCAAGATCCCATGCACTTACTTTCAACAGGGCAAATGTCGTCGTGGTGACAAGTGTTTTTACAAACATGAAGTTGCAGCTGCACCCACAAAGGATCCAAAACGCACCAATAGCCCTGCACCAAAGAAGAAGGCCAGTGCAAAAGCTGCGCCATGCATTACTCAAAGGTATGCATGCATAGCAAAGGGAAAAGGGTTGCCGAAAGCTACAAAGGCCATGAAAGAACAATGCCATAGAGCTATTGTGTTTTCATCAAAAGTGGAATACATCAAAGTCCCAGCAACAGGTGAACAGAGGAAGGTAGTGCACAAACCCCGAATCTATGAGAAGACGTTCCCTGATTCAGAGTCAGTGCCAAAACCCGACAAACTCGTGGCTCACCGTGCTCAGGTTTCGGCCCGACAGTTGCAGGAACTTGTGAAGCTCTTCGGCAGTGAGACGCAGCCCAAATGCCGATTCCGATGCAATGACCCAGAAGGGGGAGTATCATGCAACCACTGTAGAGCAATGATCGGTCCCAAGAACAAAGTCAGTAACACTCATTTGCCCACTGTTGCTACACCGGCATCAAAAGATGGATGTGTTTGGTTGGTTGACACGGGCAGTGAACAGGATTTGATTAGCGAGGGTATGCTGAAGACTGCAAAGGCGACAAACCGCCGTGTCAGCGATACCCCAATCAGCCTTGCTACAGCGAACGGTTCGACACGAGCGGATGAGGTGGCCGACGTAAAAGTCGATGCCCTACATCAGCCATTCTCACCATACATCCTCGAAGAAACTCCTGCTGTTCTTTCGGTTGGTGTCAGGTGTATGGAACAGGGTTACAGTTTTGTGTGGCCAGCTGATGGTAGGCCTTACTTCATTCGTCCGGACATGGGGAGTCATTGAGCTTAACGTAGACGGCCGTGTGCCGGTCATCGATAGCTCTTGTCGTGTTTTGAACAGTGGACAGTTCAAGAAAGATTGTGATCTGTTACGTCTTTTTGCAATGGTTGCTGCAAAAGCAGAAGGTGCCGATGAAGAAGGCGTGGATGAGGGAGTAGCTCATGATAGCGAAACCGAGTACGTCAGGTCTAGAAAGGCATCTGACCTTGAGCAAGAGGCATGCAGCAAATCTCACCAGTTTTGCCATTACCCCAAGAATCCATTTTGCAAAATCTGTCAGAAGGCGCGCATGATGGCGCCACCCGCAAAGAAGAAAGGGGGACAGAAGAGGTTGGAAACCAAAAGTTTTGGGGATCACATCGTCGCTGACCATACTGTAATCAAATCCAATGTGGAAGAAGGCGTCAAAGGTGAAACAGTGGCATTGGTGATGAAGGACATTCACACTCAGTTCAGACACGTATATCCAAGTCAGACAAAATCGAGTGAGTCATGTGTCAATGCTTTCAACCACTTCTTATCTCACAAGGATGAAGTTGGGGCAGTTTACACTGACAATTCACGAGAACTTATTGCTACAATTTCAGAGTTGGGGTACAGACATCAAACATCAACAGAGTACGTGGACAGTTCAAAGTCGTTTGTGGAGAGGGAGATCAGGCACATGCTTGAAGGCACGCGCACAAACCTCGTGCAGTCAGGTCTTCCATTGCAGTATTGGCCAATGGCTATGCAGCATTTCTCCATGGCAGTGAATGCCACGCCACAGCTCAACGGTGATGATGCCCCATGGAAACTCAGATTCGAAGAAGATTTTCCAGGTCAGTTGATTCCTTTCGGTGCAAAGATACTGTTTTGGAATAATCCAAAAAGGGTTGACAACACATCTGGAAAGACATCACCAACAGCAAATGATGGAATCTTTTTGGGATACCACATTCAACCTGGTTTTGCATGGAAAGGTGAGTATCTTGTTGCCAAGTTAGAAGCATTGGATTACCATGCAGAAACGGGCAGCATCACAGTGCAGCGAGCACGACGTGTTGAGCTCATCGCGGGAGGTTTTGTCTTCCCACTCCGTGCATTGAAAGAGGCCAAAGAGCCTAAGCCGGACCGCCTTGCTGACAATGTCATTGCTGATCCTCGTCCGATTCCGTTTCAATCCGAATTGCAAACAGAGGAACATGCAGAAACAAGTGAAGAAGCAATTGACAAGTCAACGGAGGCAGTGCTTGACGCACTTGCCAGTGATGAAAGGCCGGCTGAGGAACCAGTTTTTCCTGATATCAAGTACACTCCAACTGGAACACCAATCCCGGATGGTTATCATTGGGACGGCACACGCCTTGTGAAAACGTACAAAGGGTCAAAACGCCCTGAGTCGATTCCATCGG